CAAAGATTTCAAAAGCTTAAGATTGACCAGAGACATAAGGGTTGGAGGGAGAAGGTAATTTTGGGAGACATTCTTTTGTTGTTGACATTAACTGATTATCTAAGATTTTTGGGTCTTACTATCTTCTATGTTAACATAGGTAGTCAGACTTCATTTGCTTTTGACCGTCAAGGAGTCTGCCATCAATGTCCCTCAAAACTTGGATGCTCGCAGGCGCATCACCTTCTTTGCAAACTCCTTATTCATGAACATGCCACGTGCTCCCAAAGTTCGTGACATGCTCTCATTCAGGTCTGTCATTGTAAATGCTAAGTTTGTCAATGGTAAAATTAGGCAACTAAATGGAATAAGGAAATAACAAAAAAAGCCCCCCTTTTGACATGTTTTTGAGACTTGGTTGAAGTTGAAAGATCAATATGGTTTTTCTTCCAACATTTGTGTTGAAGATATATGTCTCTTTCCTCTTTCAAGATTTTCTTTTATGCTTCGGGATCTGATAATTGCTAAAATAAGTTCAATATTCTTCCTGATTTATGGTTCAGTGTTCTGACTCCTTATTACAAAGAAGATGTCATCTATTCTGATGAGGAACTTAATAAAGAAAATGAGGATGGAATCTCAGTTTTGTTCTACCTGCAGAAAATATATCCTGGTGCGTGTCAGTCTCATATCTGCATTATTCTTTTCAATTTTTTGAAATTGACTTGAACTTACCCTTGCCAACCAACTATGATTGCCAATTAGATGAATGGAAAAATTTCCAGGAACGGCTAGAAGATCCTGAAGAATGAGATTCCTGGGAAGGACAGATCAGAGTTAACCCGTCAGTGGGTATCTTACAGGGCACAGACACTTTCTAGAACAGGTCTGGATTAATGAGTAAATTGGTCTCTTGTATATTTAAATATGTGATCTTATACTTTTCAATCTGTATTTTTCTGCTAGTGAGAGGGATGATGTACTATAGGAGGGCTTTAGACCTTCAGTGTGTCCTGGAAACAGCAGGAGATAGTGGTTAGTGGTTTCTGTAACAGATAATGTGTTTCAAGAGCAATGTTATCTGATTTTGGTTCCAAAATTTTGTAGAAAGCTAGTAAAGTGGCATATGGTTATGTTGCAGATTTTTTGGGAGGCTACCAAACCTCAGGGTTAAGCGAAAATGATGAGCAGGCTGAGCAGGCTTTTCTAGATCGTGCACAAGCTCTGGCAGATTTGAAGTTTACATATGTAGTTTCTTGTCAGATCTATGGTGCTCAGAAAAACTCCAATTGAAGCTCCGGGATAAAAGTTGTTACACTAATATCCTGAAGCTGATGCTAACGTGAGTCAATAGTGCCATGGGATGAACAATGAGTAGATTCCTTTGCTATTTAAATTGTTGATGGCATCGTTTAATATTGTAAACTTTTTTTGTAGGTATCCATCTCTACGTGTTGCTTACATAGATACAACGGAGGAGCAAGTGAATGGAAAACCCCAAAAAATTTACTTTTCTGTTCTAGTCAAGGGAGTTGGCAAATGGGACGAGGTATGGAAAATGACTGCTTGTTCTATGCGCCATATCGAATGTAGTGAACAGTTAATAACGAATCTAGTGAACAGTTAATAACGAATACTTCCTTTTCTTGCATTGCTAGGAAATATACCGTATCAAGCTTCCAGGTCCTCCTACAGAGATTGGTGAAGGAAGACCTGAAAATCAAAACCACGCCATTATCTTTACTCGCGGAGAAGCCCTGCAGACAATAGACATGAATCAGGTAGCTCTCCTTGTGTCTTTATGTAAAAAGTTATATACAAAGTGGGTCATTTTTACCTTCTTATTGCCCGAAAGAGGAAAAAAGGGTGTTATATTCATCCTCTTTTTCCAGGATAATTACTTTGAAGAAGCTTTCAAAATGAGAAATGTGTTGGAGGAATTCCTAAAGCGTCGTCGTGGGAACCGAAAACCCACAATATTGGGTCTAAGGGAGCATATTTTCTCTGGAAGGTCAGCCTTTCAATATATCCGTTCAAAATTTATGGACCTTAATGGGATGATTAGTGGCAATTGTCGCGTGTTATATGCCTATTTTTCTTTTCCTTCTTAATGTACAGTATTTCATCACTTGCTTGGTTCTCGTCGAATCAAGAAACCAGTTTTGTAACCATTGGTCAAAGAACTTTGGCAAATCCACTGAGGTAAGCCTTAAGTTACATTTGACTGAGCCACATTCTAATACCTATCTATCTAATGTCATTCCAACTTGACAGGGTACGGTTCCATTATGGTCATGCTGATATATTTGATAGAATCTTCCACATAACAAGGGGTGGCATAAGCAAAGCTTCAAAAGTAATAAACTTGAGCGATGATATATTTGCAGGTAATTTTCCGTTCTTGACACGATAATCCACTAATTTAGTATTATATCTGCGGACTTAATTGTGTTGATGCCTTCAGGGTACAATTCTACTATGCGTGGGGGATTTATAACGCATCACGAGTATATCCAAGTAGGCAAGGGGCGTGACATGGGAATCAACCAATTATCACTTTTTGAGGCTAAGGTTTCAAATGGAAATGGAGAACAGACACTTAGCCGTGATGTTTACCGGCTTGGGCGTCAGTTTGATTTCTTCAGAATGATGTCCTTTTACTTCACAACAATTGGATTCTATTTTAGTAGTATGGTATGCTAGTGAGAACTAATCTCATTTGTCTTTTAATTCATGTTTGAAAGATTATATATGTTACTAGCAATGTCCTTGACAGGTACAATAGTTTATAGATGATAAAGCGGCCAGCCGTATTCACAATAAATTGATTGAATCTGAGAATTGTATAAACAGGAAGGGCATTATTAGAGTTTTGAGGATGTCGTTTTGGTTGTCTTTGGCTTTATGTGTTTATGTACTTGAAGGGGTATGGTATTTTACAACTGACCTTATGTATTGCACCTTGACACGGACATTATATTGTTTCAGGTAACTGTGCTGATTGTATATGTGTTTTTATATGGACGTATGTACATGGTTATGAGTGGGTTAGAGAACGAGATCATGGAGAATCCAGCCATACATGGGAACAAAGCCTTCGAAGAGGCTTTGGCTGCCCAGTCTGTCTTTCAACTGGGCTTGTTGCTTGTGCTTCCCATGGTAATGGAAATTGGCCTAGAGAAAGGGTTCCGCACTGCCTTGGGTGATTTTGTCATCATGCAGCTGCAGTTGGCCTCTGTTTTCTTCACATTCCAACTTGGAACAAAAGCCCATTACTATGGAAGGACAATCTTACACGGAGCATCTAAATACCGTGCAACTGGCCACGGTTTTGTTGTCCACCACGCAAAGTTTTCCGAGAATTACAGACTCTACTCACGCAGTCGTGAAAGGGTTGGAAGTGCTGATTCTGCTGATTGTTTATGGAGTCTATGGGCAATCTTATGGGAGTTCAAATCTTTTTCGGTTCATCATTTTCTCCCTGTGGTTTCTGGTTGCTTCATGGTTGTTTGCTCCTTTCATATTCAATCCATCCAGCTTTGACTGGCAGAAAATTGTAGATGATTGGACAGAGTGGAATGGGTGGATGGCAAACCATGGTCGTATTGGGATATCACCTGACAAAAGTTGGGAATCATGGTGGAATGAAGAACAGGAACACCTCAAATACACAGGTTTCCGGGGAAGAATTCTTGAGATAATACTTGCGTTTCGGTTCCTTATTTACCAATATGGAATTGTTTACCACCTTGATATAGCTCATCACAGCAAGAGTTTACTGGTAATATTCGTGTTCCATTATATTTGACTAGTTGTTCTCCTGTTGGCCTATAAATAGTTGTTTAGCCTTGAGGCCTAATTTTTACGACTTTTTTCAATTTCTTTGCAGGTTTATGGACTTTCTTGGGTGGTTCTGGTAACTGTTCTTCTCGTTCTAATGGTATGCAAATAAAAATCACTAATAACTAATAAGTATGTTTGATGCAAGGTTGTTTGGACTTGGTTTTGACTGGATTACAGATAAAAATGTTACTTGCCGGATAATATGATATATTTGATACTGCTTATTTTGCATGTTTCCTTCAGATAGTTTCCATGGGTGGACGAAGATTTGGCACCAACTTTCACCTCAGGTTCAGGATTTTGGAAGCCCTTCTGTTTCTTGGTTTCATGTCAGCCATGACTGTCCTATTTGTTGTTTGCGGCCTTACCATTTCAGATCTATTTGCTGCAATCCCTGCCTTTCTACCAACAGGCTGGGCCCTTCTTCTGGTAAGTTAAAATGTTTTATGGAGTTTAAGCGTTGAGAGTTTTTTCATTTCGAAATACCACTCTCAAAATTATGCTTAGAAACAAGGGAATTTTAACGAAAAACACCGGTACTGTTTACTTTAACGAAAAACCATATTTTTACACTAAAAAGTCAATCATGGTACTATTCACTTTACCCTTTATTTTGTCCTTATGATTAAAACTCAAATTTTTCAAACCTTTTTCATTAGTTTTCCTTAAAAGAATGTCCCAAACTTTTCCTAATTGTATTCATTAAACCAGTTGTTTGTTTCGTTGTTTCAAGATCGGACAAGCATGCAGGCCGGTGTTCAGCTGGCTAGGATTCTGGGAATCAATCAAGGAGCTTGGAAGAGCGTACGATTACATAATGGGACTAGTAATCTTCATGTCGATAGCCATTTTGTCATGGTTCCCGTTTGTATCACAGTTCCAAACACGTATCCTCTTCAACCAAGCATTCAGCAGAGGCCTGCAGATTTCCAGGATTCTTGCAGGAAGGAGAGACAGGACTGCTTCTTGGACAGAAACTTAAAAGTTTCCATCTACATTGAAGCTTTTAGCATCTCTAAGTTCATATCCGTGATTAGAATATAACTAGATAGTAATGCCCGCGCGTTGCTACGGGATTACAAAATGCATGAATAATTATGTTTGAACGACTACAAAAGTTTAATCTAATATAATCAGCAGATTTTTTATTTTCAGCTATATGAACACATGTTGGAAAAAAATAATAATTAGAGTATGCATAAACATAATTACTTGGTGAATTACTAAATCATGAGCAAATGTAGGATTTGCAATTAGGTGCAACCAAACCCATTAGGCCAAAGTGCTAAAACAATACTAAAAAATACAAACCACAGTTTTTAAATTGATAAAAAAAATGATATCATCAGAAACAACGAACAACACATTCTTGAGTATAGTTCTCCTTAAGTCTTAACTAAGACAGCATTTTCAGCTGCAAACAAACTCAATCAATGAATACCAGAGGATAGAAAAAACCTTGCAATACTTGTCTGCAACTTTGGAGGTGATGTAATTCTATCAGCTACAAAGACTGGAAATGCATCAAACAAAATACATTGCAAACTTAGTTATAAGCCTTGAGCTTTATCCAAGCTAAACAACAGTCAAAATTTAGGCACTCTAAAAATGACAGAAAAATTATTGAGATTAACATAATTTACACCAATAAACTACCATTGAATTTTAAGTTTGGAGTGACTTTTCTCCATATTCCCCAAACCATTAAAACAATCTTATTTACATCATGTGGAAATCTATTTATAAATCCAAATTACACTTTTAAAAACTTGGGCAGTTGCCGTGGTTTGTTTCGTTTTGGTTTTGGTTTCGATCCACATCGAATATTTCATTCATTTAATTGGAGGTTCGCACATAATTAGGTCAATTAATTTCATCTTATGAAGTCACTTTTGGGATTATGAATGTGAAATAAGGTATTTTGATTAAATTTTAACTGCACTCCTGCAGTGGTTGCAAAGAGAAACAAAAGAGCTCTCTATGAAGCTCTTGACAAACTGATCATATTTCTAAGATCCTTGTCAAGAATCACTTAGTTGAGAACTCCATTGCTCAAATACGATTACGTACTTATCGGTTTCAAACAATTATAGTCATATAAATTCTTTTTCTTGGTCAATGTATATATATATATATATTTTTTTTTAACTTCAAAAAACTTGAAAATGAAGGGCAACCATGTTGTCTGTAAAGCAACTATCTGAATGTTCATATAATTTTATATCTTTATGCAATAGGATTTCCACGTATTATCATGAGTGTCTTGGGCGAACCATTATTCTAGACCAACAAAGCATCAATTTATTATATTAACGTTTCATAACCATCAATTATCATGATATTATCAAATTGACTTAACCTCTATGTGGATAAATATTATCATGATTCAGCAACATCCCTAAACTTTCAAAAACCCAAATAGAAACAAAAGCATTGGTGTAAATTAACTATCTAACTGAAGAAATCAAAACAAAAGTATATACCTCAAAATGTCAAGCAACCAAATTCTTCCTCCAACGACCCAAAATTCTGAAAATTCCATGAAAAAGGTAAACCCAATAGCAATTCATAGCTTTTATAATAGCAAAAAAATTGGGCAATGGTAAAGATGTGGTGAGAACCATCCCACTTTTTGCTTATGTATTTGAAAAGATATTTTATAAGTAGTTTATGGAGTCATTTTGATCATGTTGCATGTAAATTCCTTTCCACAGAGTTTAAAAAATATGGCATCAGTTGAATAACATGGTTGAAAGATTTAAAACTCATATATTCAATTTTTATGTCAAACTATAACATATAGCTAAAGATGTTGGGTCTATATACCATATCAATCATATGCTAATTAGAAGTTTATCGATTCAGAATTCACAACGCAAAATAATGCTTTCCAAAACCGATGTGTTATAACCCCACAATATTGACATATAATCTGTATTTGCGTGTAATCACAACATACCAAAAAGAGTAAATTTTAAAGAAAATCTCCACAAACATATCCAAGAAAAGCTGTTTTTTTTATTTTTATTTTTTTTCTCAATTTCCTTCCCCAGTTATTTTTACTATTAATTCAATAGAAAACAAATCTTCTCTAAAAGAAAAGAAGGTGGACAGTGCAGTGGATAAGATATCAACCCGGCTAAGAAAACTATAATTGAATTCACTTACCGAGTCCTTCAACTGATATCGCGAAACTACTTATCCATGAGTTCTAAAGAAATTGACACCCGTAATGATGCCCAGAAGTGTACCCGATGCAGAATAGACCAGGCTTGGAAAATCAGAAACCGGATCAGTTTCTTATTTTTTCAAGACGTAAAAGAATTCACATGTTTATAACTATTGTTGTATGAAAAATAAACATGTTCAAAATATAATTAATGGGATTAAAAACTAATGAATGATACTAATATGGCAGACTCAGATCTCAAAGCTTGTGATTTTAATGAAAAATTAAGCTGGTTCACTATCCGTTTAAGGAGCAGTCCAACTCATAGAGTTGCTAAAAACAGCGAGTAACATTTTTCTAAATTATAATGCTTTTGTAAACTGCAATTGAAGGGAGTATGACTGAGACCTGAATTGGTTCCTCTGGTTAGCCCAAATTTTTTTCAAGATTAACGGACAAAACCACAAATTCTAGCAAACCAAGTAACAAACAGAGATACAATCAGGAAGCAGCAGAAGCAGGAAACCATACCCAAAACAACTCATAATTTCCAGTGCCTAAAATCCAATCCAAATACGAGATAGCAATCTAAACATATAAAGATGCTTCCAAATTCGTTGATTAAAAATAAAGCTAAGATCTCATTACAGCTTTGCAATCCACTACCTCACCAGCTAAATCTTACCCTCAAGTGCCGAGAAATGGTGCAGGGGCCAAGTTGTCCTCGTCTCTATATAAACGAAACCTGCAAAACAAACGAATCAACCAAAAAAACCAAATCATAAATCATAAATCATAAATCTCCAAAAAGGCCAATGAAAAAAATTGCAAAAATAGAGAACAGCTTGGTACAAAAGATACACTCTTAGTTACCAAAACTAAGCAGGACTCTTCAACTTTAAATAGAACAACAAATCAACTTGGTTGCCTCCTGTTCAACGTTTAGCCAAATTATTCGGTTCAATGGTGCATAATCAAATCTTCAGTGAATGAAGACTAGACTACTTGGGGAACCCAAGCTTAGTCCATGCACAAAGCATTTTGGCAATTTGGGCCACACAAGTTATCTTAATGGGAGCCGTGGAGGGCTACAAAGTTGCCGGTGGTCCACTCAGTGAGGTGACGGACCCGTTATACCCTGGCGGGAGCTTTGACCCGTTAGGCCTTGCAGAGGATCTGGAGGCTTTTTCCGAGCTTAAGGTGAATGAGCTTAAGAATGGAAGATTGGCCACGTTTTCTATGTTTGGATTTTTCGTACAAGCCATCGTTACCGGAAAGGGACCAATAGAGAACTTGGCCGACCACTTGGCTGACCCCGTTTACAACAACGCTTGGTCATATGCCACAAACTTTGCTCCAGGGCAGTGAGGGTGACATTCCCTCAAATCTTGAGAGAGAAGCACTTTTACTAATCGCTTTTTTTAAGCTAATTGTTTAGGCGAATTGTCTGAATGAATTGGGATTTTATCATTTTTTTTATAGTGTGCTTATGTTGATACAACTTAGTGATCAACGCAAAGGAATATGTCAACAATTGATATTAATGTTTTATGTACCGAAATATTTGTACCTACATGATTGTATTGAAATATATTATAATGAACCTAAATGTATGTACCGAAATATATTATATTGAATTAATGTACTTTAATGTTAATACCAAAATGTATGTACCGAAATATAATATATTGAATTAATGTACCTAAAAGTCAGTACTCAAATGTGTGTACCAAAATGTACGTACCGAAATATATTATATTGAATTAATATACCTAAATGTATGTACAAAAATGTACCTACCGACATATAATCTATTGAATTAATGTACCTAAAAGTGAAGACACAAATGTGTGTATCAAAATGTACGTACCGAAATGCATTATATTGAATTAATGTACCTATATATTTGTATCAATAGATATACCAAAATATTCAAATATACTAATGTACCTAAATGAAGAACATACAAAATTGTTATCGGAATATATATCATAAAAAAATTAGTTGTCTAAAAGTAAACATTAAAATATATTATGATGAATGAAATAAAAATTAAATTTAAATGTAATTAATAAGGGTAATTCTATTAACACCCCCACAATCTTATGAATGCACCCCATAATTTTATTTTATTTTTAGTTAAATTTCTATTTTTATCTTGACAAATTAAGTTCTGAAGTTCAAAATAAACCTCATCCACTCCCTTATGCTGGTTGCCAACCACCATAATGTCTGGGCAAAAAATCCCAGCCACTCACCACCACACATATATATATCCAATCACCAACCACTTACCGGTAGGTAATAGGGAATTGGGAGATGGGGTGTGTGAATCAAGAGTGTTGGACAATATATTCTCGATCTGTTAGAGAGTCGGTCTTGGCTGTCAACTTCCGTGACGTGGGGGGGTTTTGGTTGTGCTAATATCGATGACGGATACCTCTTATATGGGTGGCCCATGGCCATCGAGCTAGCTTTTTTGCCGTCATTTGTTATGGGGATGGGGTGGCTTCAGAAAAATGGGGGACAAACCTGGAATTTTAGAGGTATATTTTTGATGTGGGGTGTATTTATAAAGATGTGAGGTGTTAATAAAACAACCCATTAATAACTCCATTAAAATAAAAAATAAAAAGATAAATAAAACATCAAAATATAACTAATAAATGAGATGATTAAATGTACTAAGGACTAAAATTGGATTTTAATTTTACACAATGTTATAGTCTAAAATTCATTTTTTTAAGGATTAAAATGAAATTTTGTATAATATTTATATATAAATTAACACTGAATCTTTCTTGGTCTGACAAGTTAATGAGGCGGCATCATGCCTTAAGACAAAAGGACAAGCCTAATTTGGCATTTGCATAATTTTCTGATGGACTGGAGCCCAAAGTGACGCAGGAGAAAAGTCTCGGAAGACAAGGGATGATAACTTGGGAATCACTCAATAAAGGGGGATGAAATCACTCTCTACGGGGGATAGAATATGGGAATCACTCGACCAGGGGCAACGAGTTCACTCACGTCACTAATTATGAATTCACTCGACACGACCAAATCTCACACTTGATTTTAAAGAGAAGAAAACTCACTCTCTTCTTATATTAACTTTAATTCACTAATCACTTCTTAAATAGGAGGCTACCTATAGGATAAAAAACTTAATACTAAAGGTTATAGTTACTAGGCATCTAATTAAAACATGGTTTTGAAAGATGAAAAGTCTCCGACAACATATTTAATGTAGAAACCATATTAAATGTTTTGCACTGTATGATTCTCCTCTTCTCAAAAAAAAAAACTCGTCCTCGAATTTCCTTTGATTTTTTTTTCCTTGATCTTTTGCACGACCTTTCAAAATTTTCCACAACAGCCACAATAGCAAAAGCAAATTCAAAGCTGTCAAGTTGTTCCGTCCCACAAAATATTCCTTTGAACTCCACTTCCATGTTATTCCAAAGCAAGTGCACCTTAGTTCCTTGTTAACAAAAATTGACTTCAAATCAAGCACATACGATTTCCAAATTATCGCTTCTTGTGATGAGTAGCATTGGAGGGATATTGAGAAACCACAATCAAATTCACCGATTATTTTCTTCAATAATTTCCACTCTAGATTGTGAGTAATGAAATCTTCCCAAATGTAATCATTATGTACAGTCAATGTTTTTACCTCTTTATGAAGCTGCACATAAAACGTTTCCACCATTGTACTCATGTTATGTGGATAACCCCAATCCATAAGGAGATGGATTGTCTGCACTCCTCATCGCATGTCCTTCTCATCCCCTTATATTTTTGTGGTCACAGTTAAGTCACGTTAACATTTTATATTCTTATTACTTTTTGTCTTATTATTTCTATAAAAAAATCAATATAAAATGTTGACATGGCTTAACCGTGACCACAGAAAATAGGAAGGGATGGGAAGGGGATGGGAAGGGCATGGGATGGGGAGGGCAGACAATCCATCTCCAATCCATAAAGCCTTCTTCTCCTGGCAGCAGATAAACTTTTTGATGAGCCACATCAACGGTATACTCGTTGTCATCATCAAATTTGTCGTAAATTGGTGGAGAATTCTAATCAACGAAACTAATTCTTCAACAATGTGACCTTGAAATGGATTGATAATCATAGCCATGATCTTTAACTACAGCGGAAAACCTGCTTTGATGCCACTTGACGCAGGAGAAGAATCTCGGGAGACAAGGGATGATAACCTGGGAATCGCTCAACAAGGGGGAACAAAATCACTCATGTCTCTACGGGGATAGAACCTGGGAATCACTCGACCAAGGGCAACGGATTCACTCATGTTGCTAATCGTGGATTCACTCGACACAACCAACTCTCACACTTGATTTTCAGGATGAGATAAGCTGCCAAAGATGGACCCTTACAACCGAAGTCTTTTGTTCGAATTCTCTATCTTCCAAAGTTTGCTTGAATGTTAGATTAAATATAGAAATATAGAGAATAATCTGAATGATGACTTTGAGGTACGACTTGAATTGTTTCCTTAAAGTGTTATTTGCCCCCACTCGAATGAGTTTGCTAAAGGGTTCTTGGCAAATCACTTCCAGGATACAACAAAGTATGGAATATTCGATTAGCAAAACCGAATTGTATTCCCTTAGAAATAACTAGAAAGAAAATGTATGAATGAGATGAGAAGAGAAAAGAGAGCAAGGAAATTATGTAGACAACAAATTTCTGAAATTAATGAATTCTCTTCTACTAATGTTACCCATATATATAGAGAGAATTGCACATTTTAGACATATCCTTTGGTTTTGAGTGTGTCCTCTCACCATGAGATACAACTAAACATTGTAGCAATGTTTCTGATAGATATGTCTGATACAAGAGGTCAATTATCAATAATTACGTCTGTTGGAAAGAGAATGCAGATCGGATGCATCATGTTTTTCCGCGAAACCATAAAAGGTGCAGCAGTTTTCAATCTCCAAGGAATGTGATTGTTGGGTGACTGACCCAACTCCATCTTCTGACAAACAACCACACTCATATATATATATATATATATATATATATATATATATATTATTCTTAAAATATTCAACAATCCTTCCCTATTTTAAGAATATATAATAAATGGTATTACAATACTTCTCTCTTTTAAATTAATCACAAGCATACCGATATATTCATGCATACAATAAAGATGTCTTTCGAATTAAACCTTTAATTAGTGTAAGTAATTCAAAGTTATAACAAATGCGATGGTGACCTAAGTTTAAACCACCTATTCTTATGTAAAACCGGAATCACCACACACATGATTATGTCTTATTTCCTTAAAGAAATTTCTAAACTAATTAAGCACTATTATGGCCTTGTGCTTCATCCTGGTTTCATGAACATTTACAAGAGAAAACCCAACTCTTGGTAGAAGCAGCACCACTTCTTATGTTCATATAGGTGAGGTTCCTTCCCATGTCCCTGCTACTATAGACATAACTACAAATAACCTCATTAAGAGATAAAATTCATCCTCCTAAACGTAGCAATCTTGCACTGATCATCCTGGAATGAGTTATATATTAATTTTCAGTGCTTTCACAACCACTTAACAATAACTTGTTATTACCCATTAAACTTTTAAACTAGTGATGTTCTAGACAAAGTCGGGTTACCATTATTGGTGGCTAATTTTCAGTAAAGGGTTTTAGCCCCATTCCACTAGATGTACTAACTACCAAAGCTTTTGAAAGTGCTTTCGTTAACGGATCCGCCAAGTTATTACTTGATTTAACATAAACAATATTAATAACTCCATCAGTTATTAATTGCTTGACATATTGATGTCTCAAGCTAATATGTCTAGACTTTCCTTTGTATACCTTATTGTATGCTCTAGACAAAGTAGCATCACTATCACATTATAAAGAAATGGATGGCATTGGTTGTGGTCACAACTCTATTTCCAATAACAAATTTCTAATCAATTCCGTTTCTTTACCTGCTGCTGCTAATGCTATAAATTCAGATTCCATAGTTGAATGTGCTGTACATGTTTGCTTCTTTGAAGCCCAAGAAATTGCTCATTCGGCAATTGTAAAAATCCACCCCGATGTAGACTTATTATCATTAGCACTTGTTATCCAACTTGCATCTGAATATCCTTCAAGTACTGCTGGAAACTCAGAGTAAGTTATACTCAGGTTAATAGTTCTTTTAAGATAACCAAAAATTCTATTTATTGCTTTCGAATTAGCAGTACCTGGATGACTAGTATATCTAGAAAGTTTGATTACTGCAAATGCGATATCTGGTCTGGTACAATGCATGGCATACATTAAACTTCCGATTACACTAGCATACTCAAGCTGTGCAACAGACCTACCAGAATTATTAAGCAAAGTTTCACTAGGGTCATAAGGGGTATTTGCTTCTTTTATTTGTAGATGCTTAAACTTCAGA